GGGGGGTACAGGCACCATGAGCTGCGCCGCCTGCTCCAGGGAATGGCCCCGGTCCTCGGGGAGCCACTGAGGGTGGGGGCTCTCAGGCCACAGAGGGCCCACATGGGCAGCGGGAGCCCCCAGCCGGCTCCAAGAGGAGCAAGTTGTGCCCCAGCAAGGGCTTCTGGTCCTGCGGGGCCTTCCCAGGATGCCGTGGGGCAGGCCCAGGCGGGTTGGAGGGGCCCGGCGGGTGGGGTCTCTGGCTCTGGTCTGGCTTCTGCTCTGCAGAACCCGAGCTGGAAACACAGAACTCGGGCCGGAGCGTTCCACGCAGCCTCCGTGCTGTTCGTATCACCCCCCTGACTCTCAGGTCTCCTCGTGGGTGACACGGAGACGCCGAGGCGCTCTCGGTCCCGAGGACCCACCTCCCCGTTCGTCGACGGTGCTGTTTTCAGGGGCCGCGGGCCCCAGGTGGGGTCCCAGGAGCTTCTCGTCCATCACAAGCTGGGTGACCCCCAGCAGGTCTCACCCTTTCTGAGCCTTGGTTTTGCCTCTCTGGGTCCCCGGCGAAAGCATCACGCTGGGTGTCCCCTGGCCCGGGACGGATGGCCGCACCCCAGAGTGCCTTTCTTGTGTCGGGGCGGGGGGGCCCTTTGCCAAGAGGAGGAGGGGAGGGTTTGTCTAGACGGGAGACTCCAGGCGTCCACACGAAATGTCGGCGTGGGGGCGTGGCGAGCAGACAGGTCTCTTCCAGGCTGTGTGTCTGTCACCCCAGAGCCGCCTGGGGGTAGCCTGGGAGGGCGTCTGCCCTGCAGAGAGGGGGGGCTCAGGTCAAGAGCCCCATTTTCTCAAGGGTCACCGGGGAGTGGGGGCGGCCCCGTGCCCACCCTGCCGAGTGGCACGGGACCAGGTATCTTGGCCCAGCGTGGTCAAGGCTGTGAGGGGGGACGCCCAGGCGGCCGTGTGCACAGAGGAGCTCCTGACCCAGCCCGTGGTAACCTGAGAAGGCTCCCCAGGGGAGGTGCTGGCCTAGGGGAGCGTGTCTGGGCTCATCGACGGCTAGCTGGATGCCTCCTGCAGCCCACTTCCGACCCTCCTTCCAGGGGCTCCCGAGAGAGGATTTCCCCAGAAGTAAGATTCCTGCCCCGGCCACAGTGACTTTCCTCCGTGACGCTGGCTGGGGACACATATGGCCCCAGTCACCGTTCCCGAGGCTTGGAGGAGGGGCGACCGAGGCCGTCAGAGCCAGGGAGGGGCCGGCCCAGCCCCGGGCTCAGCAAGGAGCAAAACATCTGAATCAGGCCCACGGCCTGGAGGCGATAGGAGCTTAAGACGTGCGGCTGAGGACAGAAAGACCCCGGGTTCAAACCCGGGTGGTGTCGTCTGGGCCGTGTGACCTCACGGAAGCTTCTTAACCCTGAATCTGCACGACATGACGAACAGTCACGGCTTCGTGGGGCTGCACACGGCTGCCAGTTTTCAAGAGATGGCCGCTAAAGTCACACACGGTCACATCAGGGGGAGCAGAGCTTTGAATAAGGGAGGCGAGGCCACTCGGGCCACTGGGATGGGCACCCCTTGTTCAAAGCCTCGCCTGAGCCGTGGGTGGGAGAAGCCGGGGCCTGTGGGCACCAAGACTGGGCTCCCGAGGCCTCTTTGAGCTGCTTCAGGCTTCCAGGCATCCAGAATTTTCCAGGCGAACCCACGTGGGCCTCTGCTGTTTCCTTTGATCTCGGAGGCTTAGGGACCCAGGATTGCTGTACGTAGCTCGAGGCAGCCTCTTGTCTGCTCCTCCTCGGACCCCAGCCTTTTGCTTCCTTAATATTTTTCTTTTATCAGCTCACCTTTTTATCCAAATCTTGCGTTTTTTTAGAATATGCATGTTTTGGGGGAGAGTACAAGCAGGGGAGGGGCAGAGAGAGGGGGACAGAGGATCTGAAGGGGGTTCTGTGCTGACGGCACAGAGCCTGACACGGGGCTTGAACTCACGAACGGTGA